ATTTCCTTATCTAGTTTAAGGTAGGCTAAATCTCATACATTTGTTTGTAATTTTCTATATTTAAATTTTAAATAGTGTGGATGGCCTTTCTCCTGGGACAAACCTGACTACGTAATTTACCGTGCAGGTAGCACTTGTGCCTGTTCCAGTGGCAAGAGCCAGGATGGACATTCATATTCATTGCTATTGTGTGCCCCAACTTTCGGAATGATTTGGCACTAGGTGTGTTATCCTATTCCATGTTCTCTATCCTTTCTAATATTTTTGGCATTTTTCATGTGGTTCTATTCTGTCAATTTTTACATGCAATATAAGTTCTTTTGAGGAATTAATGTATCCGTGCTCGTGAGCAAATATTTGTTCAAAGTTCCCGTACATGACCAGAAATGTGCGTAATTAGTTTGCCACTTTGAACGTTCTACAGATGTGTTGTTGGCTGAATTTGAGTCTTCTTATGACTTTGATGCCCATATTGTCCCCAGAATGTTTGTTTGCTTCTATTCAAGAAAAGAAAGAATGTAGACAATTAAATCTATGGTCTTGTGGTTTGGCGATGGATGAAAAAGCCCTTCGAAAACCACTGGTTTTTGCAGTTGCCACATTTGAACCAGTCTTTAGTGGCAAGATTGAAAACACACAAGTTTACGTCAAGTGAATGTGGTGAATTTTTAGAAAAATTAGAACGTATGGTAAGTTGGGAAAATTGACTAAATTGCAAATGGTGGATTGTCAATAAATTAATTAAGTTGCAAAGATTGTATTAGCCATGTGCGCTAGTTTTTATTCCTTATAGTAATTGTGAATGGACAAAATAGTGGGGTTTTTATATATATACACACACACGAGAGATCGTCATTATGTATGACTGATTATTTAAATCCGTGACAGGTTGATGAATAATAATGAAAAACAAAAGAGATTCAAATTTAAAAGGAAAAAGAAAAGCCCAAATTTACTTCATCTGCTTTTGTGTACGTGTAGATGCATATTGGCAGTTCGGTACGCGACTTACGGTCAAACTTAAGACAACATTTTGTACTTTGTATTCATTATATCGAAATATATGAGAAGACAAACTTAGAAAAAAAGTACGCTGACGTATTTAAATGACGTCAGGTAATGAACACTACTAATCCATGCAATAAAATGCTGTCGTATCAATTCATAATAAATAGCAAACCCCTCAATACAAAATCAAGAATCATTCAACTAATAACTCGTGCTAGCTATATCATCCAGACGAAGGCCAACGGCCGCCACTGTTCTGTCTCCCATCGGCTGGCCGGACATCCATCTCGGCCGCCGGAAAATCCATCAACTCATCCAGAAAACCCGTATGCCTCTCTATATCATCGAGCGTCATGGAAATCCCTGGCCGAGCCAAGTCGAATTCACCAAACTGCCCCTGAAACCCAAAATTACCAAACTGCCCCTGGACGATGGGCTCGGGATTAACGGGCTGCTGATGGAGGAGGCGAACGTTCTCGGGAAAATTGAGCTTGGCTTTGCTGCCCCGGTAATGGAGGGCAGCCTCGTCATAGGCTCGGGCAGCATCTTCGGCAGTGTCGAAAGTGCCCAGCCAGACTCGGGCAGCTTTGTGGGGGTCGCGTATTTCGGCTGCCCATTTGCCCCACGGCCTCTGCCTCACGCCTCTGTACTTTCGGTTAGACGACGAGTTTGTGGCTTCTTGAGGATGGTAAGTGTAGACTGAGGATAAGTCTGGTGATGTTATGATGCTTGCCTTGATTTGACTTGAATTCATAGTTTCTGCAAAAATTTTTAATTTTATGTGGATTCTCTTTTTTCTTTTTCTCAGTTGATTGGTGCTTATATAATGAAAATGAATTTGCAGAGCAATTATTATTATTATATATATATTGATGAGTATATATACATATATAATAATGCTTTTATGAGTAAGTATTTTGTCACGTTGTTTAATGGTTAGATAATCATATGTACAAATTTTTACATTCAAATGTCATACTTTAAATTGAAATGTAGAGAATATAAGGATGTATGACTCACTAACTAACCGTTATTAAGTAGCCTAGCTAATAGTACTAGTATTTGTGAATTAAGATGTATTATTATTATTATTATTACTATCATTTTACATGTTTTCAGTAGTTTCAAGGAAGTAAATGCTATTAATTAAAAAGAACTATTGGTGGTGGGAATCAAAATTTAACTAGAAACTATAAATGAGCATGGAGAATTTATAAAAAAAAAAAAAAAATAGTACCTAAAGATGATGATGGTCCCAAGGTAGAAGAATTAGTTCCAATGGCAAAATCAGCATAATTAGCCCTATAAACTCTATTAGCATCTCCTTCGTCATCGCGCCCCCTTTTGCTGCATGCTGACGAGGACGACGAACCTCCACCATCGGCCGCCACGTCACCAACATCTCCGGCCACCACTCGAGCCAAAGCCGAGACCATAACCGACATCTCTCTCTCCCTATCGACCCCCGAGAAAGTAGGCAAAACGATCGAGTTCAGCCTCTCGTTTTCCGACCCAAAAACCTCATCGACCCTTTTCGGGTCATAAACACCGTCTCTTGAATTCGCCACCTTCAAAACACACATGCAAAAAGATAAAAGGAAGAAAAACAATGGAAGAAAAGGATACTCAAATACTTGTAATACTCAAATAGTATGTTATACAATATTAATATACTACTACGTCAAATTAGTACAAACAAGAAAGAATTTGTGCTTATCATTTCAAGAAAGTTGACTGAAAATTCAGCTTCTTAAATAGAGCTGCCCTTTGTTTAGAGTAGAACTTTATACAATATATAGGCAAGTTGCAGTTGGAAATTTCGCTTTTATCACAAATTGGAATGGAAAAGATTTGAAGAAATAATAAGAGGAAAAAATCGCCGCCAAATGACGATGTATATCTTCGGAGTGAAGCTAAAGAGTTTTTATCTGATTATTATGATTTTTATTGATGTTTCTTATTTTATTTGTTTATTTGAGTTTTAGCAGTTTGACCAGGTTTTTGGTGCAACTGTGCCACTAATAATAAAGGCCAAGTTTGGGGGAATATGTATATGAAACCAAGATTTCACACGGGGAAATATTAATTAAGAATAAATCCGATATCCGATACACACGGTTTTTGGTCTTATTATGTCGGTGTAGGTAATGTTGTATATGTGGAGCCGACATAATCACCGCCTCCTTATTTTTATTTCTTTTAATCTATATATATATATATATATATATATATAATTGGTTGTCCAATTAATCCAATATTTTTATTTTTTTTCTCCCATTTTTTAGTTAATTATATATAGTAACAAATAGTTACATTTTATATTAATTAAATTATAATTAATTTCATTGTTTCTCCCATTGCTAGTTAATTTTTTAGTTAATTATAGTAACTAATCGTTACATTTTATATGTAATTAAAGTATAATTATATATTTTTAATTATTTTATTATATAATAGTTATTGCCAAAACTAGTTTATAATTCAGTCTAAATGGCATATAGAAGCTATACAAGTACAAAAAATTGTAGTGCAAAGTTTTTCTTCAAGTTATTTATTTTACAAAAACAATACTATTTTTTAATCTCATTGATAATTTTGTCCCTTCTAAGTTAGCTAACTAGTTTTAGTGGTAAAGCCAAATCGTGTTAAACAATTACTATATTAATAATAATAATACTGCTGATTTTAATTTTTATGATAATTAATTGATCATAATTCTTTAAAATTATAAAAATTAAATTATTCATTACATTTTATTTAATCAATATTTTGACTCGTGTATAGTTAAATAGTTTTATACTGTTTATTTTTAGAGCAATTCCTGTGTTGCGCTCTACTTTGTAACTTTACTTTAAAGTAGTGCAAAAAACTTGCTCCAATATCGCCTTATTTTAAAGATGTGAACAATAATTCAATTCATGGAGTGCGATATTATTCACCACATTACAACTTTTTCTTCAATTTTAAGATAATTAATTGACATAATTCCTTAAAATTATAAAAATTACATAATCAATATTGTGATTCGTGTATAGTTAAATAGCTTTATACTGTTAATTTTTAGAGCAACTTTAGTGTTGCTCTGCATTGCAACTTTACTTCAGAGTAGTGCAAAAAACACTCTAAGAGCGTCTCCAGCGCAGCGCCAGATTTGGCTTCTTGCGCTGGAGTTGTGTGAAAATCTCCTCCACTGCTGCGCTAGACTTCTGCGCCAGAAAGGAGTTGGGAACAGTGTTGCTCCACATCTGGCGCAACACTGTAGCTCAACTCTACAATTTTTTTTTTTTTTTTTTTTTTTTTTTTGTGTGTATTATTATTGGTAAATTTTTGTATAATGTGTATTAGTAAATATATTTTTTAAGCTAAATAATTTGTGCAACGTATTTTTTATGCTAAATAATTTTGTGTTTTTTATTGATGTATTATAATTTTATAGGGCAATTTTTTAATATTAAAATGATACCATATGAATAAAAATTTAACACATTCAAACAAGTTTATTTCATTAAAATTAAGTTGTGGATTTCCTTATCCACATATATGGTCTAAACCATATATGGTCTATTGTGTAAATTTGCACTAATTCATATATTTTCAAAAGTAACAGTTTTGATTCAATCGGTACATAGATGTATATGTATCTTCTTTAAGAAATTCAATTTATTACAATCATTTTTAAAATGTGAATATATGTTCTAAACCATATATGGTCTAGTGTGTAAATTTCCACTAATTTTTATTACTATTTGGGTAATAAACATTTATATAATATTACATATTCATATATATAGCAAATTATTCGAAATAAAAATAAATAAAATATATTTTAAAAATATGAGTAATTAACATTTTATATAAGATTAAATATACATATATACCAATTTATTTGAAATAAAAAATGAATAGAAAAATAATATATTTAATGTAGAGTAAAATGTAGAGATAAGGGCTGGATATGAATGTTCAACTCTACTCTCAACTCTACTCTAGAGTAGAGTTGAACATTCATCTCCAGCCCTTATCTCTACATTAAATATTATTTTTTTATTTCACATAAATTGGTATATATATATATTTAATCATATATAAATGTTTATTACCCAAATAATAATATATATATATATATATATTTATTTTTGTTTTCAAATGAATTGGTATATATATGTATATTTAATTTTATAAAAAATATTAAATTTTTATTCATATGATACCATTATAATATTAAAAAATTAAAAATAAAATTATTAATACAAATATTATAAAATTATTAATTTATATTATAGTAAATTAAAATATTTTTATAAAAATATACTAAATATATAAAAATATAAAAACAAAAAAAAATATAAAGATAAAACAAACCTGCACTTTGTGTTCCAATATAAAAATTAGTTAAAATATAAATAATGTAGCGCAGCAACAACAGTGCATCGCCACATCTGGCGATGCACTATTCATATATTTGATCTGGCGCAAGAATGTAGAGATTCGTTGGAGATAAAATCCCACACAACTCTAGCGATAGATAAGGATCTGGTGCAGGGCTGGAGAGGCTCTAATGTCGCCTTATTCTAAAGATGTGAACAATATTTCGCTTCATGCAACGCGATACTATTCACCACACTACAATTTTTTCTTCAATTTTACTTATTTAATTCATTTTTATTTCTAAATAATATTTTGACAAAATATATGTCAATAAATTTACTTTTTTTGTTAAATGGTTTTAAATTTTTTATTTTATAGCTAAATTTAAATTTTATTTTGTACTAATATATTTCATGCAGAGTAAAATGTAATGCAAACGATAGTAAACGGAAGTTAAATTTCGCATTTTCTACTTTAGAGTAGTATAAATTCTAGTAGAGGATTGGAGATGGTCTTATTAATGACAAAATTTTTAATGTGTATATCTGACTTATAATTTGTCGCCCCAAATTACTACTTGTCGCCCGAAAAAAATAATAAAAAATGATAAATTTACAAAAATATCCCTATGGTAAAAAAAAAAGTTACTAGAAAAAGGCATTCAAACGTCTATCAACTAAGCTCGGTCAGCAAATGAAACGTCCAAATGTGAAGCCCGACTCTAAAGATAAACGTCCAGAAGTTAAGCTTGAATGTCAAAGAAACGTCCAACATTGAAGCCCGACTGTGAAAACAAACGTCCAAGAGCTAAGCTTAGAAGCAAAGGAAACGTCTAAATGCGAAGCCTGACTCTGAAGAGAAACGTCTAAATGAGAAAGGGCAACAAATTTAAAACTTTAAAATTGCAAGCTTCTTCTGCCGCTAAACGTCCAACTGGAAAGCTTGGGGCCACGAGAAACGTCCAAGAGAAAAGCTTTAAAGCACACCAAACGTCCCTTATTAGTGCTTGCCTATAAAAGCAAACGTCTAATATGAAAGCTCCACTGTGAAAACAAACGTCCAAGAGCTAAGCTTGGAAGTCAAGTAAACATCTATCTGGGAAGCTTGAGGCCACGTGAAACGTCCAAGAGTTAAGCTTTAAAGCATATCAAACGTTCTCTATTGAAAATTGCCTATGAAAGCAAACGTCCAGAAGCTATGCTTGGTATCCAAGCAAACGTCCAACATGGAAGCTCCATTGTGAAAACAAACGTTCTGAAGCTATGCTTGGAAGTCAAATAAACGTTCCAGAAGGAAGCTTAAGTCTTTAAGGAACGTTTTATAGTTATGCTTTGAATCCAAACAAACGTCCCAGAAGAAAGCTTAGGACAACAACAAACTTCTTTAAGGAAAGCTTTATGTACCCAGAAACGTCCAACGTGAAAGCTTCCTCAATAATTTGATTTTTTCCACATATCACCCAAACTACTTTCCCACATATCTTACAATAATCAACCTAACATCAACCCATGCAACAAATCTTTAAAAGGATATAGAATTGTTATTTTATGATATACACTTATTTTTAATATAATTTTAATAATAAAATCGTAATCATATTTATTAATGACAAAATTTTTTTTAATAGAATCATATTTTAATAGAATCGTAATTTTTTATTAGTTTACAAATAATTCTCATAGTTGTAAATTGATCTCACTTAGACTATTAGTCCAATAGAAATGGCCTCAATTTTTAGTCAATCAAAGTAGAGGTGCATATTTTTTAGAGGCTATTTCTATTGGACTAAAAAATGAGGCCATTTAGGTCGAGGCTGGACTCCTCAATTACCTACATTCGTTGGGACTTGTCTTAGAATCTTATCAAGGCTTTACTGCTACTCGCTAGTCTTATACATATATATATATATATATATATATATATATATATATATATATATATATATATAACATACTACATGGATCAAGAAATAAATTACTTAGGTCATATAATCGTGCATTTCGATAGTGCGTGCCATTTTCGAAAATCAACAAGTGATTTTGTAAAACATGATATGCGCAGCAATTTATAAATGATCACAACTAGCAGCACATAAGTCGAAATAACATGAAACCAGTGGCATGTGATTCCTAAGACATATATCTACAACTCTTAAGAACAATTTAGAATCAGACGAGGTCATTATCCACATGATAAATCAACAAACATTCACATAAGGGTGCAGTAAAAAACATTCAAACAGGATGACGGTATTTTGAGGATAACCCGAGCTACAGTCATGATAAAAATATGAATCTGGTACTCATAGAAAGGTAAGAAATAAAGATACAATTTTTGTGAAGACAACTTTAGCAAATTCTGACATCGCCACAAAGATAAATCAACAACAACACAAAACATAGCTGCAGTCCGGAAAGGAAAAGAACAACTTACAGCACTTCAGTAATTCCAAGATAACAGAAGCTACAAACATGATATTACTGAAATTCAAAAACCTTAAGTTAGCTAACTCAATTTCCTACAACTTTTCTGAAGACTCCATTGGCAAAATATGAAATTATCAATAAGGTTAAGTAATAAACATT